AGATTGGCCTTCAGTCCTCTATATCAGGCATTATATGCTACCAACATTTCATGTACTTTTATTGCACATTCTGTAACACCTCTTTCTAGTTCCAATAGAAAGAACCTCTTGTGTTTCTTTCACTGATGTGATAGGTTGTCAATAACCCACTGGGCCCCCTAGTACCACAACAGGTTAAACCACTGAGTTGCTGAACTTGCTGACCGAAAGGTTGGCAGTTCGAATCCAGGGAGTGGGGTGAGCTCCTGCTTTTAGCCCCCGCATCTGCCAACCTAGCAGTTCAAAAACATGCAAATGTGAGTAATAATAATAATAATAATAATAATTTATTTATATACTGCTCCATCTCCCCAAGGGTACTCAGAGCGGTTCCCAGGTAACATCACAAAACATACAAAGTAAAAAAACAACATAACCATAAGATTAACAAAACCAAATATAAGCATAAAAATTGTCGCCATAACACACATATATTAAAAGTAATCTTGCCTGTTCAAGGCAATTTAAAAATTTAAAAGACCGGGCCAAGATTTGTGCAAACCCAAAGATGAATAGGTACTGCTTCTGCGGGAAGGTAACAGTGCTCCATGCAGCCATGCTGGCCACATGACCTTGGAGGTGTCTATGGGTAATTCTGGTTACTTGGCTTAGAAATGGAGATGAGCGGCAACCCTCAGAGTCAGACACGATTGGACTTGATATCGGGGAAACCTTTACCTTTACTTTATGTTGTCCATTAATGTTTATTGTAGATCAGCATCATCCCATCTTTCTAAATCAGTGGTTCCCAACCTTTTTTTGACAGGGACCACTCTCCAATATTAGTACCGGAAGGATTACAAATTAGTTTTTGGTCAACTTTAGATTCGATTTTGTTATTTGGGGTGCTGGTTCAGAAAACTGTATTCGATAGACCACATAAGCTCTAGTTTCTGATACAGAACATATGCCATCCAGTAATCGCCATTTGCTCACCCACAGAAAACCATATTTAATAATCTAGAGCTGATGTGCTAGTAGTATTCCTTCATGGGTAGTCAGCCTCTCCCCTCCCAAAATCCCCGTTGCCTCAACACTATAAGAGGGTTTTGTGAGACCAGTTGGTCTCGTTGCCCCGTGGTTTCAAGGCAATGGTGTAGTAATGGTGAGGCCGCGGATCATATTTTCATTCTTGCGGACCACTGGTAGTCCACGGACCACAGGTTGGGATTGTTCTAAATGGTTTCCATGTTTGATGTTTGTCCACTCTTATAAGGAAGAGGAATAGTGCCTTGTACAGAAGCAACAAGGAGGGCAAATAATTGGCTCTTAGACCCCTTGTACACTGCCATATAATATCCAGATTATCTGCTTTGGATTATATGGCAGTATAGATTCATATAATCCAGTTCATATAATATAATCTGGCAGCGTAGAAGGGGCCTTAGGTTGCTGTTCCACTATAAACTGCAAGGGAATTTTCCATATCTGTGGAATGAGGGGGGATATATATATATATATATATATATATATATATATATATATATATATATGGTCTTTCTATATAGCCCTCTCGTCTTACTCAACTGCTGAGTATGCCTGCCCTGTTTGTATAGGTCTGCCCATACAAAGCAGGTGAACATAGCATTGAATGAAACATGCAGAACAATCACAGGATGTCTTAAACCTACACCTGTTGATAAACTCTACAAGCTAGCTGGCATCCCCCCCCCCGATGTGTGACGGGAAGTTGCAACTAAATGTGAGAGAAATAAGGTTAAACACTGTGAAACCCACCCACTGCATGACTACCAGCCTCCTCCCAGTAGACTCAAATCAAGGAAAAGCTTTATGAGAATTACCACTCCTCTTGGCATGTCCCCAGCAACAGCAATCTTTGGACAGCTAAACCAGGAAATCCCAACTAGACCCCCCCCCCCCCAAGGGGCAAGCCAAGACTGGGCAACTTGGAAGTCCCTGAACAAACTCAGAAGTAGAGTGGGCAGATCAAAAGACAACCTGGCAAAATGGCACTACCTAAAAGAATCCCACACCTTGTGTGACTGTGGAGCAGAAGAGACAACTCCACATCTGTATGCTTGTCCACTATGCCCTGCCTCATGTACAGAGGAAGAATTGTTGGAGGCTACAGACAATGCCATTGCTGTTGCATGTTTCTGGTCAAAGGATAGTTAGCCGCCTGTGCTCCTTCAATTTCTATCAGTTTTATACTAATTTATGCAATACTTTTGATACGAAATAAATAAAACAAATCTCCTTATGTTCCAGAAAGCCATGTGCAGAAGAAAGGAAAAATTCAACTGAATGATTTTTTTTAAAAAAAAACCACTTCCTTTTTAAATTTGTGCTAAATTAACTTTTTAATTAAAGAGTGATCTCACCGTTGATTTAATAACTTGCTCTTCAAAGATAGGCTAAAAAGTGCCTAGCCACTAATTAAAAGACTGGGAAAGACGACAATAAACATAGTTCTCAACAAGACACCACTTAAAATAATTATGCTCTAATTTGCTTTCGAATGCTTTTTACTCTAAGTGTTATTGTGTAAATTTACCTTGGATTAAAAAAAAGAACAACTAAGAGGGCAATTAAAAGACTTGTAAACAGCCCAATCTGGGACATGTCTGCACAGAGGTCATTAGTATCAGTAATGGGGATTATTCTTGGGAAAAGGGGGGCAAACCGAGGTCTAAAAAAACCCACCCTGGTTATGTAAATACAGTTATTTGCAATTAGCAGAAAAATAATAGCCACGGTACACTGAAATATAAGTTTATTATGTTTGGAAAATCTGGCAGCATTTGGAAAAGTTACTGATTTGCTGGACTACAATCACAGAATCTCCAAGCACTCTCTTCAATATAATGACTTTATGTGTTCCAAGGGTTGTGACCTGGCTTTTAAGCACTGGTTTCGAAGGATTGTTGTCATAGTTTTCTGGGCACCGCTGTGTGAAGACAGGCAAGCCTCTGCTCATAGGTGAATGTCTGTATTGGAATACCAGGGCCAGAGAAGAGCGCTTTGAATGGGAACCAACCTTTCCTACACATGAGCCATATTTTGCTCCAGTGTTGTTTTGTTGAGCGCAATGCCATTTCCGCAGATTGGGTTGCATCTTATGCTGTTCTTAAAAGTACAATTAGCCCTCCACATTCATTGGGGTTGGGGCACATAATCCCATAAATGTGAAAAACCACATTTCTTTCCCAAATTTTTTTTCACCCAAGGTAATATAGGGGGTTGGACTGGATGGCCCATGAGGTCTCTTCCAACTCTATGATTCTATCTCACTAAGAATCTCTAGATCCTCCAGAATAGCTCTGTGTTCAACCTCTCCTAGAAATTAACCACTAAATTACACCATAAGACCTAGAGATTCCAAACACATATTCTCTCTAGGAATTTTTAGAGCCTCCAGTGTGACTCTATGGTCAACATCCAACAGAAATTGATCAGTGTTACAGTAACAGTGGTTCTCAACCTAGGGTCCGCAGATGTTTTTGGCCTTCAACTCCCAGAAATCCCAACAACTGGTAAACTAGCTGGGATTTCTGGGAGTTGTAGGCCAAAAACATCTGGGGACCCCAGGTTGAGAACCACTGCACTAGAAGATCTGTAGATTCCTAGAGATAACACCACATCTGCAAAAGTCAAACCCACAAATCAGAAGGTCCAACTGTACTGGTTGAACATCCCTTATCTGGAATTCCAAAATCCTTCAATATCCTATATTATCTACATGGATGACTGAGATTGTGATACCTTTGCTATCTGGTGGTTCAATGCACAAACTTTGTTTCACGCAAAAAAAAATAAATTAGAATATTATGTAAAACTACCCACAGGCTATGCATATATGAAACATGCCTGACGTTAGTGATTAGATTTAAGGCCCATGTCTAAGATATCACATTGCATATATATGTACAAATATTTCAATATTTCCCCTTAAAACTCCAAAATCTAAAACACCTCTGGTTCCCAGCATTTCAGATAAGGGATATTCAACCAATTTTTGAATGACTTCTGGATGGCATAGGTCAGTGGTTCTCAACCTCCCTAATGCCACAACCTTTTAATACAATTCCTCATGTTGTGGTGACCCCCCAACCATAAAATTATTTCCGTTGCTGCCTCATAACTGTAATTTTGCTACTGTTATGAATCGTAATGTAAACATCTGATATGCAGGATGTATTTTCATTCACTGGACCAAATTTGACACAAATACCCGATATGCCCAAATTTGAATACTGGTGTGGTTGGGGGGGATTGAATTTGTCATTTGGAAGTTGTAGTTGCTGGGATTTATAGTTCACCTACACTCAAAGAGCATTCTGAACTCCGCCAATGATGTAATTGAACCAAACTTGGCACACAGAACTCCCACAACCAAGAGAAAATACTGGAAAGGTTTGGTGGGCCTTGACCCTGAGTTTTGGAGTTGTAGTTCACCTACCTCCAGGGAGCACTGTGGAGTCAAACGATGATGGATCTGGAACAAACTTGGCACGAATATTCAATATGCCCAAATGTGAACACTGGTGGAGTTTGGGGAAAATAGACCTTGGCATTTGGAAGTTGTAGTTGCTGGGATTTATAGTTCACTTACAATAAAAGAGCATTTTGAAACTCACCAACAATAGAATTGGGCCAAACTTCCCACATAAAATCCCCATGACCAACAGAAGAAACTGTGTTTTCTGATGGTCTTTGTCGACCCTTTCTTACACCCTTTTGCAACCCCCACAGGAGTCCCGGCCCCCAGATTGAGAAACGCTGGCATAGGTGGAACTTAAGGGAAGAAGGCTGTTATATGGGGGCTGCTCTATTCCTTGTTCTTAGGCTCAGATGTTTCCGAACTCCAAAGAGGAATAAGAACTTACTTCACAATAAAGACTTACTAATTGATAAAATGTTATTGTGCTGTCACACCGAAGCTGCTTGTTCTTTGTTTTGTCTACCTGACTATGTTCTTCTAACTCTTCCTCTATCTGCAGGGCCAGGCTGACTTGCTGAAACACTCCAAGGCAGAAGCGCTGGACACATTGTGGCAAATACACAATGCTGCACAGTCCTGTGGCATTGGGCAGAACGGAGCCGCCTCTCCTGACCTCTTTCGTAGCCGAACTGTTCTCGATCCCATCCCAGAAACGGAAGGACCCAGTGATGCAGGGTCTTGCTGACTTTGGATGGCTAAACCAAGAGAGAAGAGAGGACTTGCGGTCAGAGTGGGTGCCATACAGAAACATTGACATGTGGCAGATTTGTTTAAAAGAGAGAGAAGAAAACACATGAAGTTCAGTTTTCCTTCTGACCTGAAAAGCAAATAGAAGAGTGCCATTCAATTTCCAAGTATTCATGTGTGCAACAAGCACTTCAATTTCCTTATCACAAAATGTGGAGGCTGCCCTGCGTCTTTTGAATGTGCAAATTATGGGATGGTGGCAAGAGACAGATTTTACCCTTCCTCTCAGGCAAAACTCATGAAAAATAATCCATCACTGGATGGAACAGGTGATATACTGTAATGGGACTTTTTCTGTGTATTTTGGTGAAACTGGAAAGAAGTCTGTCCATAGCCAGAAAAGGCTGGCCACCTAATGTTTTGGGCCAACAAATAAATTTTATCTGGAAACCTTTAGAGAGGGTCATAGAGGCTCACATTTGACCCACTCTGGCCTTCTGGTGTAAGGAGGTGTCCTTACTGAAGCTCCTTGAATTCCTTCCTCTTAACTAGAATTGAATTTGGCTACAAAGGCTGAATCTGCTGGACATATCCTAGAATTCTTGATTCAAATGGGCTTATGTAGGTTGACCTGAAACAGGAGTGGGGTGTAGCTATACCCCAGATATTTAGGGCTACGGTTCCTATAGTCCAGTGGTTCTCAACTTGTGGGTACACATATGTTTTGACCTTCAACTCCCAGAAATCCTAACAGCTGGTAAACTGGCTGGGATTTTTGGGAGTTTTAGGCCTAAACACCTGGGGACCCACAGGTTGAGAACCACTACTGTCGTCTCTTACTTTTGGCGAAGCAGCACAGATCTAGTGGGAATTAGGCTAAAACATCTGGGGAGTCAAACATTTCTCACTCCTCTCCTGGTATTTTGTACTTTATGGCAATAACTCTGTGAAGATGTCCTCTGGAGTTTTGGCTATTCATGGACTGAATCCACAAATAGACTCTCTTTCTCTCTGCCTTAAAACTCAATTCACTAGAGTATGGGGAAGACCAAACTGGATGTTATAGTTGCATTCTCCTCAGTAACTACATTACGATGATTAAGCAAAGCTGAAAAATCCATCTTCTATAAGATGGATCCATCTTCCTTAGAGGCTGAAGAGAAAGTCAGGTTTAGCCTTTGTGTTGTGGTTCCCCAATCTTAGGTTTCTAGAGGATATTGAACTATTACACTCACCACTGCCAACATTGACCTTGCTGACTGTGGATGATGGGATGGAGATACGGTTTCGAATAGTGGTTCTTAACCTGTGGAGAGGCAGAGGTGACAGCTTCCCTGGGCTTCATTTTCCTGAACTTCCCAAGCATTCTCTTCTGTTGAAAGTTGTTACAAACCTTCAAGTCAATTCTAATGGTTTTCCTGACAGGGTTAAGTCAGAGAAATTTTGCTGTTCTCTTCCCCTAAAGCAGTGGTTCTCAACATGTGGGTCCCAAGGAGTTTGGCCTACAACTCTCAGAAATCCCAGCCAGTTTATCAGCTGTTAGGATTTCTGGGAGTTGGAGGCCAAAACATCTGGGGGCCCAAAGGTTGAGAACCACTGATCTAGAAATAACGGGAAACTAATGTTAAGAAAATGCATTTCTAAAGGAAGATGTCTCTGCATTTCTTGTCCTCTCCTCGACTTGCCCCAGTGCTATCAAGCTTCTGGATAGAAATGAAAGGAGGGGAGGAGATGAGTATCAGCAAGTCATGATTTAACCAGAGGCAGCTCCTTTTTCTGCAGTGATGGGCTGAGGCCATGTTTGGACCATGGAAAGGGTTCTCATTTTTTCTAAATTTTGTTAAAATTATTCAAATCATTATGTTCTCTCAACTGGGACTTTTCACAGTCTGCCCAGTTCAAGAATGTTATTGGGAAAAGGTTCTTTTGAAAGAGAAGAAAGTATAGTGGGCTGTGTTTATATTTTGAATCTTAAAAAGCTCTGATGATTCTTTTATAGTCATAGATAATCATGGGCACAACAAGCAATGCAATCCTAACCTGAAGGTGCATCAGCAGTAAAGTATTATGGTTTATATACAAAACCTTTTTGCCAGCAGTCTTCACTAGCCAAAATAGCCAAGGGCCAAGCAAGCCAACATCGGGTTAGCTGAAGCTGTGCTGAATAAAAAAATCTGCCAGTCTTGGGGCACTTCCACACAGCCCTTTATCCCAGAAGCATCCGCATTTTAAAAACGTGGATGTTCCTGTGCCTCTATCCACACCCACCCCAGAAAGCGGGCACTTTCTGGAGTGAGTGCCCAGATGTTCCTCCAGGACTGGACTGGCAGAACATCTGGAGACCCCACCCCACTCCCTAAAAGCAACCCCCAAACCCCTTTTAAAAAGTAAAATAAATTTACCCAGCCTCCATTACAGTGTTACCGGAGCTCTCCTGCTGTGTAAAAATGACGCGCCAGGAGAGCGGGGGGATGGGACGATTTTCCTCCCCCTGCTCTCCTGGTACATCATTTCTATGCATCAGAGAGCCCCAGCAACATTGTAATGGAAGCCAGGTAAGTTTATTTTACTTTTTAAAGGGGTGTGGAGGCTTTGGGGGAGGGGGTTGGGATTCCCACATTTTTCCAGACTAATTTAGTCCGGAAAATTGTGGGAATGGTGTCTGGATTGCAGTCCAGACACCAGAAGTAGTGGGTTTATCCTGCACTTTCCAAGAAGGTGCGGAATAAACCCACTATCTAATTAATTCGCCACAAACCAGGTTTTTCCTGGTTTGTGGTGAATTAATTCAGGATTGTCCAAAACGTTGTCCGGACAGCCTCATTTTTTTTATTGCGGAAGTTTCCACAATAAAGGGACTGTCTAGATCCGCCCTTGGTGTTTTAAAATTGCTTCAGACATTCCTTGTTCTAGCCTAACTGTGTGCCAACACTGTAGTTGTATCTGTGGGACTACTAAAGTTTGGTTCTGGTCCCCTGTCCAACCATTACCCCTATTTTGGTGAGCAGAATGGTTTTGGAAGCGGGTTGTTTTATCTTCCAATCTATGATTAAATGGTAGAAGTAAGTTCTGCCAGCAATTATTTATAATTCTTATATTTAAAGTCTATCCACCTTTGTATTAGGATTGCACTGTCTTACTTGTTGCATTTGCCCCCTCTCCTGTATCCATCTGAAGCAAGTTGAAACTACTGCATCCTTGAAAATTATCCACAGCCTCCAAGAGTGAGCCTTTCAACGTTGTCTTCTCTTCCACATTTAAAAAAAAAAAGAGGAGGGAGAGAGAGTTGATATTTGAGGATTCACACATCACAACCGTGCCAAGTTCTGAATTCACAAAAAAAAAACCTGTGTTTCAGGTCCTTACATTAGTCCCCATCTCACTTTCTCATTGTGGGGATGTACAGCTTTTCTCCTCCTGCTAGTCTAGAACGGCTTGCTCTGGAACTGAGAAGATTGGATTCTGTTGACAATAAAACCTGAATTTCTTTCTCTCTTTCTGTTTCTTTTGATAATGCCCAGAGCCAACAATGCCATCCACCGCTTTTCCACATCTGAATGTCTTAGCAATGAGAGAAGCCTCCCACAGGATGGTAACACATCAGGGTGTCCCCTGGGCAACGTCTCTACAGATGGCCAATTCTCTGACACCAGATGCAATTTGCAGTTTCTCAAGTCACTTCTAGCACGATTAAAAATATTTATTTATTTATTCATTCATTCATTTATATACTCAAAGCGATTTCCAACATATTCGCGACAAAGTTCAATGCCTTACAAAACATGGAAATCTAACATAAAAATAACAGTAACATAAATCTATTAAATCATAACACATAAATATATTAAAACATGGGATTAAAAACACATCAATATAAACATTAAAATCACACAATCCAGAAGTATGGTCCAGGCCGTTCCAGTATCAAATAACAATTGCACATAATCCATATTCATTTCTTGTCCTGCTTAGTGCTCAAATGCCTGGTTCTACATCCATGTTTTGGCTTTTTTCTGAAGGCCAAGAGGGAGGGTACTGATCTAATTTCATTGGGGAGGACGTTCAATAGATGAGGGGCCACCACTGAGAAGGCCCTGTCTCTCATCCCCACCAGTCGTGTCTGCAAAGGAGGTGGGACCAAGAGCAGGGCTTCCCCAGATGATCTTATATTCATAGAAGGAGATGGTTCATAGAGGGAGATATGTTCTGACAGATAAAAAGCAATTAGAAACCTAATCCTAACCAGAAACTGTACTTCTGAGTGGAGCATTTGCTAATTCAGTGCTAGATACATACCTTCTAAAGCAGTGTTTCTCAACCTTCCTAATGCCGTGACCCCTTAATACAGTTCCTCATGTTGTGGTGACCCCTAACAATAAAATTATTTTCATTGCTACTTCAAAATCGTAATTGTGCTACTATTATGAATCCTAATGTAAATATCTGATATGCAGGATGTATTTTCATTTGCTGGACCAAATGTGGCACCAATACCCAATAAGCCCAAATTTGAATACTGGTGGGGTTGGGGGGATTGATTTTGTCTTTGGGAGCTGTAGTTGCTGGGATTTATAGTTCACCTACAATCAAAGAGCATTCTGAACTCAACCAACAATGGAATTGAACCAAACTTGGCACACAGAATTCCCATAACCAACAGAAAATTCTGGAAGGGTTTGGTGGGCATTGACTTGAGTTTTGAAGTTTTAGTTCACCTACATCCAGAGAGCACTGTGGACTCAAGCAATGATGGATGTGGACCAAATTTGGCATGAATCCTCAAATGTGAACACTGATGGAGTTTGGGGAAAAGAGACCTTGACATTTGGGAGTTGTAGTTGTTGCGATTTACAGTTCACCTACAATCAAAGAGCATTCTGAACCCCAACAACAATAGAATTGGACGAAACTTCCCACACAGAACCCCCATGACCAACATAAAACATTATGTTTTCTGTTGGTCTTTGGAGACCCCTCTGACACCCCCTCGTGACCCCCCCAGGGGTCCCAACCCCCAAATTGAGAAACACTGTTCTAAAGCAAGCAGAATCTGAGAGACAGAAGACCTACTGGAATTCAGAACAGTAACTTTCCTATGCTTTTAATGTAAAGCCCTAATCTAAACAGATCACTAGACTAAATGACCTCCTGGAATTCTTACAGACTGAAAAAAGGTCTGATTCCATGAGATGCTACATTCCGCAAAAAGTACCCCAAAGTTCTAGCTATGTGACTCTACAGATAGGAGTGTGTTGATGCCGCGTGCTCCAAGTGAGCAACGAAAAGGGCACCACGCTAGTTCCTCCGTTGTCTTTTTGAGGTAATTATCCTAATAGGCCCATGCTAACGAGTGCAGACCCTCTCATTATCCCAGCCTAGCCTTTGGCTGCTTTTGTAGCTGCCCGCTTCTTTCGACAGCCGAGAGTTCGTTAGCAGAAGGAAAGCGACAAAGGCAGGTGGATGACTTGGCCTGTCTCTAAGAGACGGGCTACTGAAGCATCCTCATCTCTTTTCTGATCTCATCTCAGGAGATGATGGGGAGAGTGTTATTTTTGCCACCAGCATGGGGAGTGGGGAGGGGGTCACATACAAGAACAAGCAAGATGCTGACTGCCTGCACAAAATCCGACTATAAATTGGCTGCTTGCTCTGGCATTTGCTCAAACATCGCCCCAGGAGGGTCATGACACAAGTTCACCTGTGGCTTTGAAGATACCCAAGACTATGGAGAGTCACAATATTAAGGTAAAAGTATTCCTCTCTTTAGCGGGGGCAAAGATGGGTTGTGGGGGATAACAATCTCAAGTGAAGCGATGCAAGCTAAAATAATCCCTTGAAGGAAGTGGAAGAAAAAGCAGCTAAATTGCCCAATGTGGTTTCATTGCATCGCTTGCCAAAGATATATTTTACAAGACTTTTGGAGTGATGCAGATTACAATCTTTTGGAGTGTCACATATTCTCTCTTCAAACAAAAGACTGCTATGAAACCCATAATTTTGCATCACTCTGTCGGGGTAATAGAAAATTTTGGTTGGAATGCTGCATCAGGAGATATCTATCTAGCAATGTTGACATCTCTGTAGCTACCCTGCCTGCTTCTAATCCTGAAAACATTCCAAGTGATGCAGACCTCATCACTAACATGATCACTTATGTGTTGGAGCACCTGGTGGTATTTTATTTGTCGTGTCAGGGCAACCAGACAATTGTATTACATTTCTAACAAAACAAAACAAACAGACAAAACACAAAATTTGCAAGTTTGGTAGTTGATTAAATGTCCTTTGACCAGTAACTGGCCACTTGGAGTGCTTCTGGTGTTGCTGCAAGAAGGTCCTCCATTGTGCATGTGGCAGGGCTCAGGTTGCATTGCAGCAGGTGGTCAGTGGTTTGCTCTTCTCTACACTCACATGTCGTGGATTCCACTTTGTGGCCCCATTTCTCGAGGTTGGCTCTGCATCTCGTGGTGCCAGAGCGCAGTCGGTTCAGCGCCTTCCAAGTCGCCCAGTCTTCTGTGTGCCCAGGGGGAATCTCTCATTTGGTATCAGCCATTGGTTGAGGTTCTGGGTTTGAGCCTGCCACTTTTGGACTCTCGCTTGCTGAGGCGTTCCAACGAGTGTCTCTGTAGATCTTAGAAAACTATTTCTAGATTTAAGTCGTTGACGTGCTGGCCGATACCCTTGTGGTGCAATGAGTTAAATCCTTGTGGAGGCAGGACTGCTTACTACTGACTGAAAAGTCAGCGATTCAAATCTGGGAAGCAGGGTGAGCTCCTGTCTGTCAGCTCCAGCTTCTCATTCAGGGACATGAAAAAAGGCTTCCACAGGATGGTAGAACATCCAGGCGTCCTTACAGACAGCCAATTCTCTCACACCAGAAGTGACTTACAGTTTCTCAAGTCACTTCTGACACGAAAAATAAATATTTCTGTGTTCTTAGAGAACAGGTGGATCAGCAGGGACACATTAACTATTTTCCTGCAGTTGGACATGATTTAAGATAAAATAGCGTTTGCAGATGAAGCGTTTCCCCTTCAAGGCTATCATTGGTAGGGATATTCTAAGGATCCTCATATGTACCTGCGGATCTCTGCTTTAGCACATCCCGCCACAAGAAACTAGCGAGATGGATTCCTGATTCCTTCAACAATATACAAACGGATGTCTTGAGTAGGGAGGGTGCATTATATAAAAGGTGGTTTGTGTGTGGCAGATATTTGCATCATTTTGTGATTGAATTCCAACATCCACAATAACCAAAGAAGTGGGCTATCATAGTAAAAGTGAGAGCCAGCGTAGCATCACTGGATTTTTGGAAACAGGTTTCAAATTCCAGCTTAACCATGGAAACCCACTGGGTGCCCATGGACAAGTCATATGTCTTTGAGGAAGGCAATGGAACGTCTTCCTCAAAGACATATTGAGGAACGTCTTTGAGGAAGGCAATGGCAAACTATTTCTGATTCAATCTTGCTGAGAAAACCCCATGATAGGTTTGCCTCAGGGCTGCCATAAGCCAGAAATGACTTGGAAGTTTGCAGCAACAAATGATAGCACACACTGCGCTGTCATAACTCACTAAAAAGTATATCAGCTTTCAGAAGCTACTCTCTTTTCTTGTTTTCTAATAGTTGTGCAAATCTTGGGTGGTAAAAGGATCCAGATATTGAACAGAGAATAGAAATATTGCCACCTGCACCCACTAGGCTGCCAGTTGGTGTAGGGCAGTGGTCCCCAACCTTTTTTTTTTACCAGGGGCCACGGGGGCTTTGGCCCCCCAGCTTTGGAACTCGCTACCAGGTGAGATCAGGCAAGCCCTCAGCCTAGCAGCTTTCAAGAAAAATCTAAAAACTTGGCCTTTCCAATGTGCCTTCGGAGAGTGACCATCCAACCCATTTTTGTTAGTTTCAATCTGAAGTTGTCTACACGATGCACTTTCCCCTTAATGTAGACCAAACCCCATTGCTCCTCCTTCTTGGGCTCCTTCTTTACAAATATACTTTTTCTATTTCCTATATCATCTAGACTTTTAATGTTTTTATCATTTTATCCTGCACATTTGGCCCACCCTATGTGATTGATTTTATTATGTTATTCTGCATTGTCTATTTTATTTTGTTACATTATGTATTTTGTTGTGTTTAATTTTCTGTTGTTTTGTTTCTTATTTCATTGTATTATTTTTTGGGCTCGGCCTCATGTTAGCTGTCCCGAGTCCCCATTGGGGAGATGGTGGCGGGGTATAAATAAAGATTATTATTATTATTACTAGCCGTCCCCTGCCACACGTTGCTGTGGCCCACATGGGGGTTCTGTGTGGGAGGTTTGGCCCAATTCTATCATTGGTGGGGTTCAGAATGCTATGTGAATGTAGGTGAACTATAAATCCCAGCAACTACAACTCCCAAATGTCAAGATTCTATTTTCCCCAAACTCCACTAGTGTTCACATTTGGGCATATTGAGTATTCGTGTAGTGTTTGATCCCGATTCATCATTGTTTGAGTCCACAGTGATCTCTGGATGTAGGTGAACTACAACTCCAAAACCAAAGGACACTGCCCACCAAACCCTTCCAGTATTTTCTGTTGATCATGGGAGAACTGTGTTTGGTTCAATTCCATCCTTGGTGGGGTTCAGAATGCTCTTTGATTGTAGGTGAACTATAAATCCCAGCAACTACAACTCCCAAATGACAAAAGCAATTTTCAGAGTGAAGGACATACATTGGGTTGTGGGTGTATTGTGTCCAAGTTTGGTGTCATTTTGTCCAGTGGTTTTTGAGTTCTGTTAATCCCACAAACGAACATTACATTTTTATTTATATAGATGATGATGATGGTGATGATGATGATGATGATGATGATTATTGAACAGGGACCATTTGAACAGATACCACCTTGACCAGGGACCACTCTCCAACATTAGTACCGAAAGGGTTACAAATCAGTTTTTGGTCAGCTTTAGGTTCGGTTTGGTTATTGGGAGTGCTGCTTCAGAAAATTGCATTGGATAGACCACATCAGCTCTAGTTCCTGATGCAGAACATATGCCACCCAGTAGTCACCATCTGCTCACCCACAGAAAACCATATTTAATAATCTAGAGCTGATGTGGTAGTAGTAATTTTTGTGGGTAGTCAGCCTCTCCTCTCCCGACATCCCCATTGCCTCGTTGGCATGTGGTTTCGAGGCAACAGTGTAGTAATGGACCATATTTCCGTTCTTGCAGACCACTGGTGGTCCATGGACCACAAGTTGGGAACCACTGGTTTAGTGGGACAGTATAGAGCAATGCTTCAAACCGAACAATGGGAATTTCAAAATGTGGGTAATGAGACTCACTGTGGTATAGTAAGGAGAGTGTTGTATTGGAATTTGAGAACTCCAGGTTCAATACAATCTGATGACATTCTTTGGATGGACCCATTCTCCTTCAGCTTGACCTATTTCACATGGTTGCTGTCAGGATGAAGAAAACAGAGCATCATACAACATTGCAAGCTTCTTGAGGGAAAAGCATATTATAAATTAACCTAATAAGATAAGAATGACACGATAGGGACAAGGACAATCAAAGACGTTGTGCTGCCTGAGGCAGGACAGCCAGCACATTGCAAGGTACAATATCCCTGAATATGCAAAGTATATGCTTTGAATGACTATTTTGCTTTGGATCAGTACACAGAGCAAATGTAAACAATGACTATACCATCAAGCTCTTCTTTTCACATGCATCCTCCCATAAACTCAAAAAAATGGTAGAGAACAACATTCTCTGGACAACATACACATACATCCACAAGATATAGTCTTTCATATACTTGAGTTTTCATATACTTGAATAATGAGTTGCCACCTGCCTATTTACTTCTGGTGTGAGACAATTGGCTGTCTGCAAGGATGTTGCCCAAGGGGCGCCTGGGTGTTTTACCATCCTATGGGAGGCTTATCTCATGTCCCCACATGAGAAGCTGGAGCTGACAGACAGGAGCTCACCATGCTCCGCAGATTTGAACTGCCAACCTTTCAGTCAGCAGTCCTCCAGGCACAAGCGTTTAACCCATTGCGTCACCGGGTGCCAATTCTCTCACACCAGAAGCGACTTGCAATTTCGCAAGTTGATCCTGACATGAAACAAAAACCTGCATATTCATTCACCTCTGACCTGGATAATCATAGAAGTAAATTGGTATTGTACAATTATATACTAGACCTGAAACTGCCATATACTAAGGAATAAAATACTATATATCCAAGTTCTGGTTATCCCCAACTCAAAAAAGATAATTATATAGCAGGAAAAATGTGCAGAGAAGGGCAACAACCAGAAGGGCAGAAATTTTACTATAACAGTTCAGCTTGGTAGTTTACGAAAGCATTGACTGAAGATGGACATGGTAGGACAGGGATAGGAATTTCTATTTTATTGCAGATTTCTTCTAGTGTTATCTTGAACAGTGATAGGAAATGAGTTCCAGGAAACATTTTAAGCCTCAAAATAGATTGTTCTAATTTGCACTATGGGGTACATCGTAGAAAACCATTACATGGACCAAAACCCTGTTTGCAGCCCAAGAAAGCAGCTTTTTACGGTTAAGTAATTGTTTATAGATTGAGTTTTATAAAATAATCATTGATGTGGAGAAATTGGCTAAGGAGGCTTTTAACTCAGTTGGCAACAAGGGAAGTGAGGACAAATGGAGAAATGGTAAGAGAGGAAAACTGAAACAATTTCAAAGCCTCTGGAAAAGGGGCATGGCAGAGGACTGTCCTGAAAAATTGCTGCCTGAGGCAATTGCCTCATTCTTCCTAATGGCAGGGCTAACTTGTTGGAGAGTGTGGGACAGCAGATAAGTTCATCCTCCATAACAACCAGAAGAAGACTTACATAGGTGTAAATTATATATACATTTGAGTAAATCACTAACCAGTTCTCGATCCTCCGGTGGCTCAATGGTTTATTGTGCTGGCAGAACTGAATACTGACAGGTCAGAGGTTTGAATCCGGGGAGAGCGCAGATGAGCTCCCTCTGTTAGCGCCAGCTCCCCATGTGGGGACATGAGAGAAGCCTCTTACAAGGATGGTAAAACCTCAAAACATCCAGGTGTCCCCTGGCATCCTTGCAGATGGGCAGTTCTCTCACACCAGAAGCACTTGCAGTTTCTCAAGCCGATCCTGACATCAAAAAACCTAACCAGTTGCAGACACTGTCTCTTTGGCCATGTCTACACTGGTCACTTAATCCGGGTCCAGTCCAGAGCATTATACTGGTGGCAGTGTGCATTCAGACAAAGGACTGGACTGAATGGAGCCTGACCCAGCTCTCCAGGAAACCATTCCCTGCATATTCTGGATTGTCTTCTGACTTTACTGAAGAGTATTGCAGGGTTAAGGGCAAAAAGGTCCAGATTCTTATTAAAAGGTGTTGTGCTTTGTGAACACTGCCAGTGTGGGGTGAGTATGGGATTATTATTATTATTATTATTATTATTATTATTATTATTATTATTATTATTATTATTTGTGTTATGGTCTGAATATCTCCAAGGTGGGGATGATAGGACTGACTCATAATTGTGCTGTTTTTCCTCTTTGGCTAGTCTTCTGCCCTTTTTTTGAGGAATCAATGTTTGTGGCGGGAGATGGATGGAGAAATGTGCCCTGCTCTTAGGCAGAATGAGGGAATTGCTTCAAGCAGCAAATCTTTCAAGCCACAAATACTTCTACTTCTTTCTTAGCCAATCTTCTCTGTGGGAGACAAAGCTATCTCACAGTGTTTTGGTGCTTGAGGTCGAGAAGCAAATGGCATCCCATCCTCACCCATTCAGGTGAAAGTGCATCATGCTCTAATCCAGCAGAGTTATCTTGACACCAGAAGCAGAAAATCCCATAACCACCTTTCCCCATCTCTGGCATTAAAAGGACATCTTCAAATCCATTGCCTAAGACAGCTCACTCTAATTTTTGTGTGTATCAGGAGCGACTTGAGAAACTGCAAGTTGTTTCTGGTGTGAAAGAATTGGCCATCTGCAAGGATGTTGCCCAGGGGACACCCGGATGTTTTACCATCCTGTGAGAGGCTTCTCTCATGTCCCAGCACATGAAGCTAGAGCTGACAGATGGGAGCTCACCCCGATTACTGGATTTGAACCACTGACCTTTCGTTCAGCAGTACTGCCAGCACAAGGGTTTAACCCATTGTGCCACCAGGAGCTCCATCTTCTTTCTAATAGTATGGCTAAGCTTTCAGCAGAAGACAGAGCAATGTGTCCTTCACGGTGCAAGCTGCTACCTCAAGTGCCATAGAAATACAGTCTCCATTTTGAATGGAGATTCAAACACTGGTCTCCAGAACCATTGCCCAATACTCAAACCACTAGGAATATCTCCTGCTTAAAACCTAGTCAGTGCCAACAGATAATGCATAGATAGATTAATGGTCTGACTCCAAATGAGACAGCATTTTATTCAGTCCCAGACAAAGTGGAAACTGCTGACTCAAATAAATAAGTAAATAAAAGTCTCCCCCTCTTTCCACCCTCATTCCTCTCTTTCTCTCCATCTCTTTCTTTTTCTGCAGATCCCACGGGCCTCCTTCCTGCTCTTGCTCCTGTTGTTTTGTTCCTTGACAATGGGCAAACAAGTTGTGCCAGACTGTTGCCGACAAAAGAGCTGCCCATGCCACATCTTTGAGCTGCTTCATGGGACAGGCAACCACGCCAATGGCATCCTAACCCTCGGCAAGCGGGGCAGTGCCACAGCAACAAAGACCTTCCAGAGCCGCCTTTACCGCCTCTTCCACAGCTCAGATAACCAGGCAGCTGGGATCCTCACTATGGGGAAGAGGGATGGTCAGCCAGCAGCAGAGCCCAAGGAGGATGTGCCCACTGGCACCCGGTTGGAATCGGTGGTGCCATATGATGCAGGGTCTGCTCCGGGATGCTTGGCATCCCCAGAGAAGAACTTTCTGCCCAGCCCAAAGACTGGCAGTTTCGAGGCCCTTTACTAAGATGCATCTAAATTAGAGAAAAGCTCTTCAGAGTTTCTCTCATCACCTCTGCTAGTGGTTATTTAACGCCCACCAGGTGCCAGGTGCTGTGTCAAAAGCAGCATCAGTACATCCCTTCCCCTTGTGTAAACAGAGCTTTTCAAACATCTATTGCCTTCGGCTTCTTCCGGTCTTTCCGAAATAAAGGCAGCTGATCATATTTCATCGTTCCTCTGTTTGGTTTCTGTGTGACAGGATGGCACCGAGAATTTTCTTTGCCTGGAACAAACCAAGTCCTAATGAGTCCAACAAAGAGCTGAGCAAAGTCACTTTTATGGACTACAGCTCCCAAAACCCTTTACCACCAGTAGCATGATTGGGGGATTCTGGGAGTTATAGGCCAACAAACAACTTTGTCAAGTTCTGGTTCAGCATTCAGGTTCCTGAATACTGCCACAAAGAAAAGAACTCAAGAACAGCAATAATATTTATTTCTTACCTGTCTCTCCACACAGATCAAATGTCACAGCTGTTTTCCTCCTTCTGTCCTTCAGACATCTGCTACTTCAAGATAAATCTATTCTGTTCAGGGAGATTCTATTTTGTTATGGATAGTGGCCAGAATTTTGTATCAGATACACAGTGTGGTATATGTAACCAAGTAACATTTCCCGGCCTTACTGTCCTCAGCTTGATGGAAATGCCATTCCACCATGCTCCAATGGCCAGCAACATAGATTTCCATCTTGCCATGCAGCTGATGGCTTGCAAAATAGACTTGAGGGAGTTTTACAACCCTGGCACAAATGTCAAAATCATGACTAAGCAGTGATTGTGAATGCGAAACATTTACGGATGAGTAAATCTTGGTAACTATTCCGTATCAACAATTGCTACTTAGTCACAATTTTGACACTATTGCCACAATCATAACTCTCTCGCAGCCTACTTATCAGTTCAATAACACTATGTAACACGTTTTTTGTTCTTTGGTAATGAATGTCATTTTTTAACTGGTTCAATCATATAAACACGGGGGAAAGTTTGTTAAATTGCAAAAACTTTCTTTTTGTGTGACATCAAGCAGTACACTTTGCAGAGACTGAATGGCCATCTGGGATACTTTGTGCTTTTCCTGCATGGCAGGGGGTTGGACTAGATGGCCTATGTGGTCTCTTCCAACTCTTTCATTCTATGATTCAATGACTCTTTGACTCTATGAATAAATCATCAAATTTCAAACAATTCAACATCATTTGTGGCAGGCACAAAAACGAAGTTTCTGGAGTAGAACAACTGCTTTCAAAGTAGGTGCTGCTCCCTGGGAAAACTAGGAAGCTGACTTAACTCTGCTTTGTGAAAGGAGATGTTCAGTATCAATTGTGTCAACAATCCTGGTCACCTCCGGATTCCAGAGGTCTACCAGAGCTTCGACAGAATCATCTATCGAGAAGGCAGGAAAATCCCCAAGAGCCATTAGGAATCCATCTGGATCCATAAGTCTCCTGGAGTGGACCATCCTCATAGGTCCTCCCATCCCTGCAGAGGTTTAGAGTCCCACTAAGTATAAACCTGATCAGGTAGTGATCGTTCCATGACAAAGGAACTGTAGACAGTTCCTACACAATACCATCACCATCATCTCGCCCCCAACACAAGACAAAGTCAAGTGGGTGTCCAGCACTGTAGATGGGACCAGAAACCACTTGGGACAGACCAATAGTTGTCATGGTGGCCATGAAATTTTGAGCTGCTCCCGACAGGGTTGTCTCAGCATGGATGTTGAATTCCCCCAGCACAATTAGCCATTGGGTCTCCAATACTAGGTCTGAGGCCACTCCGACTAGCTCAGCCAAGGAGACTGTTGAGCAGAGGGGTGGGCGATACACTAACAGAATCCCTGTTCTGTCCTGACCATTCACTATTAGGTTTGTTGTTCATTCGTTCAGTCATCTCCGACTCTTCGTGACCTCATGGACCAGCCCACGCCAGAGCTCCCTGTTGGCCATCACCACTCCCAGCTCCTTCAAGATCAGTCCAGTCACTTCAAGGATGCCATCCATCCATCCCTTGGTCGGCCCCTCTTCCTTTTGCCTTCCACTTTCCCCAGCATAATTGTCTTCTCTAGGCTTTGCTGTCTCCTCATGATGTGGCCAAAGTACTTCAACTTTGTCTCTAGTATCCTTCCCTCCAATGAGCAGTCGGGCTTTATTTCCTGGAGGATGGACTGGTTGGATCTTCTCGCAGTCCAAGGCACTCTCAGCACTTTCCTCCAACACCACAGTTCAAAAGCATCTATCTTCCTTCGCTCAGCCTTCCCTAAGGTCCAGCTCTCACATCTGTAGGTTACTACAGGGAATACCATGGCTTTGACTAGGCGGATCTTTGTTGCCAGTGTGATGTCTCTACTCTTTACTATTTTATCGAGACTGGACATTGCTCTCCTCCCAAGAAGTAAGCGTCTTCGGATTTCCTGGCCACAGTCTGCATCTGCAGTAATCTTTGCACCTAGAAATGCAAAGTCTGTCACGGCCACGTTTTCTCCCTCTATTTCCCAGTTGTCAATCATACTTGTTGCCATAATCTTGGTTTTTTTTATGTTTAGCTGCGACCCAGCTTTTGTGCTTTCTTCTTTCACCTTGTTTAGAAGGCTCCTCAGCTCCTCCTCGCTTTCGGCCATCAGAGTGGTGTCATCTGCATATCTGAGGTTGTTAATGTTTCTTCCAGCAATTTTCACCCCAGCCTTGCATTCATCAAGCCCCGCACATCGCATGATGTGTTCTGCATACAAGTTAAAAAGGTTGGGTGAGAGAATGCAGCCTTACCATACGCCTTTCCCAATCTTGAACCAGTCCGTTGTTCCGTGGTCAGTTCTGACTGTTGCTACTTGGTCCTTGTACAGATTTCTCAGGAGAGAGACAAGGTGGCTTGGGATGCCCATCCCACCAAGAACTTGCCACAATTAATTATGATCCACACAGTCAAAAGCTTTAGAATAGTCAATGAAGCAGAAATAGATGTTTTTCTGAAACTCCCTGCCTTTCTCCATTATCCAGCAGATATTGGCAATCTGGTCTCTCGTTCCTCTGCCTTTTCTAAACCCAGCTTGAACATCTGGCAACTCATTATTAGGTAGACATACTCAAATCTGGCCGACTGTGAGACGGGACACCTGGTCAAGTGGATGATATCCCAATAGAATACTGCAACTCTCCTCTCTGCCCCCGGGTCTCGCCTGCTGCTGCACAGAAAAACCTGGTGGACAGAGCTGGGAGAGATTAACCCCCCTGCCCATCATCCAACCAGGTCTCTGTGATACAGCCCAGGTCGGCGTGCTCATCCAGGATCAAGTCTTGGTTGGCAGCTGTTTTACCATTTACTGACCTGGTGTTAAGCAGCAACATTTTCAACCTGCGGGACTTGCCTCCTGGTTTATTCAGACTACCTGCAACCTCAAACAGCCTAGAGGCAGTGAGAATCCTCGTGTGTTCACCCTGCCGTCTCCTCCTCCTGCTTCCCCTCCTGCCTTGGAGCATGCTATAGGCTTCCCCCTGCTTCAAGAACCCTTCTCCTGCCCTTCATAGCACATCCTCTCTATTCCTATTGTTCTCATTTCCCTGAGTGCCAGGCAGTGCTATTATAATACTGCACAGTTCAGATCTAAATCAAAACAAACCCACACCTCCCCTCCCCTCTAGTATAATAATATCTCCCTCTCCTGCTGCCCTTGATTTTGAGTCTCCTCTTCCCACCACAGTTTTTAAAAACCCTTTGGGAAACCTGACCCCTGAATATTCTAACCAATAATAGTTATAAAATCCTCAGTCCAAAGATATCAAACCTAAGGGGGAATGATCCCAATTGGTGCAGTGGTGAAGGGATTTTGGTGTAACATCAGCAGAGGAGTTTATGGCATCTGTACATCAGGGAGAGATTGGAATAGGTTGAGTTCATTTGAGTCAATCCGAGATTGTCTATTAGAATCATAGAATCACAGAATCATAGAGTTGGAAGGGACCTCATGGGCCATCCAGTCCAACCCCCGACCAAGAAGAAGGAAAACTGCATTCACCCCCCAACAGATGGCCATCCAGCCTCTGTTTAAAAGCTTCCAAAAAAGGAGCCTCTACCACACTCCATGGCAGAAAGTTCCACTGGTGAACAACTCTGACAGTCAGGAAGTTCATCCTAATGTTCAGATGGAATCTCCTTTCTTTCATTCTGCGTCCTAGTCTCCAGGGCAGCAGAAAACAAGTTGTCTCCCTCCTCCTATGACATCCTCTCACATATTTACACATGGCTATCATGTCACCTCTCAGCCTTCTCTTCTTCAGGCTAAACATGCCCAGCTCTTTAAGCCGCTCCTCATAGGGCTTGTTCTCCAGACCCTTGATCATTTTAGTCGCCCTCCTTTGGACACATTCCAGCTTGTCAATATCTTCCTTCAATTGTGGTGCCCAGAATTGCATACAATATTCCAGGTGCAAAGTGTTCAGTACAATAGTCCAGGTTGTTGAGTGTTCATTGACTTTGTATTATTTGGGAGATAGGTCGGTCCTTTGGAGATATTCCTATGTTTTCAGTTTACTCAAACGAATGGCTTTAGCAATGGTATAACAAAGCCAGGCAAAGTGCTTCACAGTCTTCACAACATGGACAATACAATGCCCCCTTGGATGCCTCAATGGTGTTGTGGGGAGTGGTGCCTCCTCCGATGGCGCTGTGTCCCCCGGGTGCCTCTTCTTCACTCTTTTAATCACCTTCCCTGCTTCCAAATTGACCTCTGTTGTCCTGAGAAAACAGGAACAAACGCCTGTTTCCCAAAACCTATCTATTAAACAGATGTTTCTATCCATCCATCACTACTGTATCACGAGGTGGACCACTCCAACATTTACCTCTCTTGCTGCTTGCTTAGAGCATCTCTATTGGCTCGCCCCTCATTGGCCACCAGGGGGCAGCATTGGCGAAAGAAAGCTGGAAGCTCTGGCTGGAAAAGTAGAAATCTCTTTGTGTGGGTGATTCTTTTGTGTGTTGTTTTTGGTCTTCATCTCCACAAAGAGATGCTCAGATGCTGTCTGCTTGCTCATTGCACTGCTCTTTATGTTGTTCTTTACACTGCTCTTTATGTGCTTAGTTGGGGCGGCGTGGGAGGAGAGGATATATCAGTCTGTTCATGCTCTAGGATACTTCTTTA